TTTTTTTCTTGTGGATCCTCCTTCAATATTGCTCCCGCACTGGTCCACCCGCCAAGGATCCATCGTTTGGATACTTTTAAGATAGCATAGGATACGTTGAGGATACCTCTCGAACCGCGCTTAATCTTCGTGAATGCTTTCACGATCCCGGCCCATTCACAGATCCATCGCTTAGAAATCTTGTGGATCCTCTCCTTTGATACCTTCACGCCGTAAGCTCCGGCCCTCGCTCATCAAAGATCCATCATTGGTTTCTTTGGATTCAATGCCTTCCAAGACCTTTTTGCTTTGGATACCTTATGCGCGCCTTGTGGATCCTCCTAAGATATTCTCATCCACTGGTCCCCACCGGCCCATCCAAATAGATACTTTTGGATCCCTTTCAATACCTTTCAAGTCTTTTAAGAAGCTGATTCATGGAGGTACTTCGTGGATCTTTCGTGCGTACGCCCTATAAGTTCCAACCCCGGCCCATACAAGGACCCATCGTTTGGATACTTTTGGATCCCTTTCAATACCCTTCAATGCTATCAACAAGCTGATTCGTGGCGGAGGTTCTTCGTGGATCTTCCGTAGGTACGCCCTTTTGGTGGCCCACGCAAGGGCCCACCGTTTGGATTCAGACACGTTTTTGATTCCTTTTTGGATCTTTCTAGCCCATCCCAGGATCCACCAGCGCCCCTTCCCCTAGCGCACTAACCCTTGCGGTTTCGACCCTGGAATCCATCCACCCTCTTAACCATCCGGGACCTTCGCCTCTCCAGGGTCCCGCCGTCCATTTGAGACCCCCTTTCTCGATAATGTGCCTAAGCTGGATGCCCGCCCATTCAAACACACAGCCGTCCTTCCAAACCTCGGAAACACGCGACTTTATCCTGATGATCCTGATGCCTTCCCCGCCCAAGCCAGCCACCAGTCTGGGTATCTTTTCCGGCGCCTTAAAACGCAAAGTCCGCAAGGATCAAGCCGCCCAGCCTTACACGTGATGTCCGCCCATCCAGGGATCTAGCCGCGACCCTTCTTCCTGCGAACACACCCTAAGGCGGATGGACCCACCCCTATCCGCGACCTCTTGCTACCCTAAACGCGCATCCAAACCATTTTTGCCCCTAACTTCACGCCTGTGGTGCCACAAGTTAGGCCAGACTCACCCCTACCCAACCTACAGGTCCATCCCAATCATCGGTGACATATGCATGAAAAGTGTTTGCGTCCGGGGAGTAAAACAACCCAGGCCAAGCAGCGCCAAAATGTAAAGAAACGCTCATCACCAGTAAAGCACAAACCTTCAGTTGTACGCTTTGCGCGCGCGCGCTGCATTGCTTCTGGACGGTTTTTTTTTACACGCCCTGGCAATTTTGATTACATGGTTTTCAAATCATGGTTTGATTTGCGTGCGGTTCTGTCCAAATCGGGCCTTAATTTTTTGTTTGTCCCATGTTCGCTGTCGCGTGAAGCTGAAACTGCTGCAGAGGCATGTGTCTTGATACGCAGCTTCAGCATATTGTCACGCAGCCGTGCACACAGCTGGCGCACCGGGACACTTGGCCATCTTAAGTCGTCTTAAGTTAAACTTTAGAAATTACATGAAGTTAACGCACTCCACCTGAATTACTACTGACCATGGAGGCGGGCAATGAGGAGCCCATGGTTTTTCGAAACTTTGAATGCGTTTCGCGCGCACCTTGAAGATTTGAGCGATAGTTTTCCAGAAGTGGAAAAAACAGAAACATGATTTTTTGGTGTTTTTCGACGATCCCAAAAGGGTGAAAATTGATTTTCACCATTTTGCCGGAAAACCAGAAAATCCAAAATCCCAAGTTTGGCGATGAGCGTGAAAGTGGCAAAAAACAATGTTTTTCGGTGAAAATGGTGATTTTCGATTTTTCACCGATCTGATGAAAATGCTGTTTTTTGTGTGTTTCCTACTTTCGGCTTTCTGATCATTTTCGACAGACACAGGCCTAAATGATTTTCCTAATATATATATATATATATATGCAAAGATATCGCGGTGGGAAGAGTGATGTCCGACCAAAAAAATGAAGCCCAGCCTTTCGGTTGATTCGAACCCAGAGTCCCCATTCTTGGGGCGAAAATGACCTGGGCAGTGGCCAATGATTCATGGTTGACTGGGGAGTATACACTGACGGATATAATGTCAACCCCGGATTAATAACATTTAATAACCCCCTTCTAATCCATAATATGTATCTAAATTTCCAATCCATCAATCCCTCGTTGACATTCTCAAAGACAATACAAAATCAATGAACTGATCAGCAAGTTCGGAAATTTGCATTCGTTACATCCTTGCAGCCATTCTCTTGGCGTTTCGGCCATTGCGGCCATTGCAAAAGCGTTTCAAAAAGGGCCTTTTTGAGTGAAACGGGACCTGCATTGCTGGGGAGATCATTGAGATGAATGATTTCACACTTGCTTGAATTCTATAACCTTGGAATCGACGGAGATAGACATAGAAACTTTTTCTTTTTGAATCAATTTTGGGATGCTGGTCTCCCGTGTCGGTTTGGGTTCGAAGATTGGTTGTCGATTGGTTTCCTTTTTGAGCTGGATGAGGTGAAGTTGCCCAAAGCCATGAGGAGAGGGAGCTATTGTGACCTTCTTGTTTTGGCAATCAGTGTTTGTCACTGAGAGTGTTTGACATAAAAAGACAGACACATGTTATAATCTTCATACTATCTATACTGCTATACTATATACAGTATACATATATCATATATCTATTTGTCAGGGTTTTACGAATTTTACGTTTTTGACAAGGATCAAGTTAAGTGTGACGATACATTTCAGCAAAGTGTCATGATATTTGTCAGGTTTTCGAGAAGGGTTTACCTTTTTTCGGTGTTTCGGGTATTTTTTCAAATCTCCAGTCGAACTTTCAGTCTCCATATGAAAAACTTATGGTCATTTGGGTGTTGGGGAGGGTGGCTCGAGATCTGAATGTTGGTTTGGCTCGAGAGAATAACAGAGTCAACACCTTTACTATGTCTCGCATGTCTGCTAACATGATGTAAAATGGGTCCATTCGATGCTTGTCCGAACAGGAAATGATCAGCCATAACAATCTACAGCTGGAAGGGGCTTGAACTTTGACCGCATCCCAGGCTGCCATCTGCAGCTTTTGAGGGTTCGCTCCGAAGGACCGATGTCTTGTTGTACTACAAGGATAAGAAACCAGCATGGAAGCTCAAGGGTTGAAAGGCTTGGCTACTGTCGAGATGATCCTCCCCATGGCCCTACGGTTGCAGGTGGCTAGTTCCCCTTGAGATTCTGTAGAGAAGCTGGACTGAACCCACAATCTGATCAGAACCCAGGGATGGGAGAATCACTCAGGAAATCAGGATGACCGTGGGATGATTATCCCCCGAAATCCCTGGCTGTCCCCGACACCTGCGCAAAAACAAAGGTCTTTCTGTCCCCTCCAGTGCCAGTGTCACAGAAGGTCACCGTGGCGCCGGGGCTCCGAGTCGGGTGCTTTTGGGACCCAGCAGACAAATGGTTGGCCAAAAAAGATACAGTCAAATTTGATCACAAGAGGTTTTTCGGGGAACATTGGGATTAGACCAAGCTTAGGATTAGCATTAAAGTTAGGACTTCAACAAAGTTAGGATGAGACAATTCTTCCACCTTTTTACAACCAGCCGGCTGCCCCGCTGCTCCTTTAGGCCCACCCCATTGGAGAATACGCCGGCGCCGCCGCCGCCGACGTCTGGCAGGTGGGGTGCCCCAAATGGGGATACCCTCGGAATGAGAATTTTGATAGGAAACCAATGGTCAAGCAGTGGATGGAATGGGGTTTTCCCCTGAATCATGAGACACACCCAACTCCTGTAGAATTTTGTAGACAAGGTACGACAAGTTCAACTGCCCTGCTAAGCGTCCGATGGATGGTCAAGTCGAACCCCCTGTGATTTTCCAAGCACCATGTGTCAATGGGGGTAGACCCCCAAATAGCAATTTGGATATTGAACATGATTCTAGACCATTTTTTTTGGGTAGCCTATTTTCAGACAGACCTATGCCGGTGATCTTTCGAGGGTTTCTGTGTTTCTTTGGCCTTTGAACAGCACACAGCACCCATCACTGGCCCCAGGATTCCAAGCGCTCGGGTCTTTAGCACCATGCAGCATTATCAGCAGTGCGCCAGTCGTGGAGCCTCGAATTGGCATCTTCCAAAATATAGTTGAATGAGATAAGGCCCCAAGGCATTTAAGCAGATTTTCTTGACAGAGTTTTCCCTTAACTAATCACTGGATGAAGAAAAGGATCTAGAACATGTGTTTGAGACTTGTTCGATGTGTACTTTTGTTGGATGACTCAGGTAGCCCTGTTATTTTTTTGGGTGAAAATACATCATTTGCCAAGGCTTTAGTAAAATCCGCAGATGGCTTCGTCCAAAAAAGGAGGATTGAACTGAATTTTGATGGCCGTCAAACATCAGCAACTGGATGGGGGCAATTCCCGCATTTTTTTCACGACTTTGCAACGAGTCCAACATTGGTCCCAGAAGTCAAGTCACTTCCTATCCACATATATATATATACATATATATATACAGTGACAAACCCGAAAAGAAAAATCGACTGAGCAATTTGTTGCAAGTCTAACAAATTTTCACCCTGCGCGGCATCCGCGCTGATCTCAAGCGCAAGTCTCGCTGGTGCCGAGGGGAACCAGGACCTTCACATTGCCAAGAGGTAGGAAGCGTTTACTGACAGATAAACGATTGAATCCCGAGCAGATGGCAGACTCTCGATTGTCGTGCATCTCGATTCGATATCTCCAGCTCAAAATGTTAGACACATGCAGATTTTGTGACCGTTCTCCCAAAGATTAAACATTATTGATTGATCACCTAGATTATCAAATGATAATATAGATTATTAGTAATTATTAGTTGATAGTTGATAGCCTAGTTGATAACCTAGGTCACCTAGATAACCTAATTGATACCTAGAACCCAAGATACTATCTTTCTGTCACCGCGCCGCCATCGCACTCCCCTGGGCCCCGCCTACGATGCCGGTGATCGAGGGTCTGGGCCGGCTCTTGCTGCCCGAAGCTGATGCCTCTTTTGCGGACGCCACGCAGGCACGAAACATGTGGGCGAAGGCAATATTTTTAGCACCATGGTTACCATGCCCATGTTTTGAGTTGTTTGTGTCACCGTGTCACCATTCTATTCATATTTGACTCATAGCCATGTTCGCCCCCCTTGTATCCAAAGGAGTCGCCCGCAAAAGTGGGACACGTGGCATCCATGATTGAATCCTTTCAGAAGAGCGAAGGTGCCGTTGCACGGTGCAGGGGTGGTTTCGTGGTGAGGGCTAACATCCTCCAACTAGACTTTGTCATGAGTTGGGGGAAGACTAAGCACTTTCCTCTCAAGACCAGTGATTTTCAGGGTCTATATGAAATTGCTGGGGTGAAATCATCCAGTAGGGCCTGGTGCTTGGTGATGAGTCGGTAGAATTTAAGAAAATTGATTTGTTAGCAACCCAGACTGAAGGGATGGGGATCTAAGCTCTCTTAAGCGGAAGCAAGCAAGACATTGTTGGTCAAAAATTTGGTTTCGATGTTTTTTTTCAAAAATCCCCATGGTCAGGGGGTGCTCCAAGCTATTGTACACGATAGCCACAAGGGGAGGGAAATTGGTAGTGCCAGGTGGTCAGTCGGATTGCTCCCAGTCGCCTTGCCGCAAAAAGACGACCACATCGGGGCACTTTCGAGATGGCAGCGTCCGGGCCGAAGACATCCTGGAGTTGACCAACAGGCTCCTGGGGTTGGGATTAAGGGATCCAGAAGGTGGGAGCTGGTGGAAATGAAGACATGGTGGTCATTGGTGACGAAATTTGAAATGGAGGAATGGAATGTGGGACGTGGGTTACAACTGCGGGTGAGGTGTGCCTTAGGCAGCCTGGAAGTGTGGATTGACAGTGACACCCTCATGTTTTTGCACTTCAAGAAGCTGTTGTTGTTGTTGTTGATGATGACGATGATGATGATGATGATGATGATGGGTCGTGGGTCTCGCTAGTTGGCCGTTGGCCGCTGAGATTCGCTCTACCCAAACTCGTCTGCACAAGGACTTGGACGATTCGGCCCTTTTTTGCGCCGTGAATTCCAATCATATTACCATGATATATTAAGTAAATGATGATGATGATGATGATGATGACGATGACGATGACGATGACGATGACGATGATGACAACGATGACAACGATGACATTGACAACATCGACAATGACTACAATCATGATCATACCGATATATCACAGGAGCACCTTCATAGGAACAGTCCAAAAATCACGTCCGTCCTCCGTCAACCCCAACCCAGCCGTGGCATCCCGCGTCAGGCTGGCGCACGTGGAGGCGCGGCAGCACTACTTCAGCGAGCAGCTGCAACTGCTGCAGGCCGCCGCCGCCGACGCTGCTGCGGAACAGCGAGTCCAGCAGCACTTGGTGGAGACGAGCAAGCGCTTGGAAGTTATGGAGGTGACGGGGATGGGGGATGCTGGGGCTGTTTTGTTTTTTTGAGATCTTTGGAGTTTTCGTGTGGTTTTTGTGGGAGTGCCGCAGTGGCCTGGCAATTTTGGGTGAGTGGGGAGCGAATTGACACAGCAGAGAAAAGAAATACTGAGGATTTTAGTGAGCAACCATCCATTCGTGGTGACCCAATGAGTCACAAGTTTCACCCGATGAGTCGACCTGCCAGTTGGGGTGCGCCTGTGGGTTTTTTACCTGGCAGGTGAATGGGAGCGACTTGAGGCTTCGTTTGGAGGAGCGGGGTTGGCGCGGGCCGGGGTTCAGCATGCAGCCGTCCCGACTGGGGACCAACGTGGCAACGGAAAATCCCTGGCTGGCCAGGGGTATTTCCCAGTCTTTAACACTACTATGATCATTCATTCTTACTACTGTGAGTAATGACAACAATTTTGATTAATAAAATAAAGGTAAGGACCGGATTACCATTAGTATTCTTGCTACAATTACTATTGTTTTTGTCATTCTTATTCTCAAGAATTACTCCCCAAAATCACAATCCTTTAAACTCCAGCTAACATTAGTATGCTTACTATAATTACCATGATCATGATTTCAACATTTCCGATAGTCCTATTGAATCCTATGAATTATCACTACATTTGTCACGATTCCGAAAAATCCTGCCCTGACATGGACCGAATGGACCGCTGCGTAGGCTCTCGAGCAGCAGCTCTGCAAAGATGTGGTGCTGCAGAGCAGCGCGCTGCAGGCGATGCAAAATCAGCTGGGCGAGCTGCATCAGCAGCTCAGCAGGCCAGGATTGGATGCCATTTTTTGGTTTCTGATTTGTTTTGGTTCAAATCATAGAGATTTTAGAGAGCGTTTAGAAACACGTTCTGACTTTATTGCTTTTTGTTTCTTGGGATGATGGATTGTAAATCATCAACTTTTGGTGTGTTCCCCAAACAGTGTGGCCACACCACTGGTCGCGGGATACGCGTACGGCATTTTCCCTGTAAATTTCCGCACAAAATGCCTCTTGCGAAATGTCCATGCGCATGTCGCCTGCGCAGGCTCGCACAAAGTGTGCTTCCCGGTCTTGGGATCGGTCTTCCTCCTCAACATCATCCTCTTCAACATCATCATCTTCCTCCTCCTCAACATTAACATCATCTTCCTCTCCTTTGACATCCGCATCCTCAACATCATCATCCTCCACCTCATCTTCCGCAACATTATCATCCTTGTCATCATCCTCCTCCACAGTATCCTCCTTTATATTCTTATCTTCCTCCTTCTCTACAGCATCATCCTCCACCTTTTCATCCTTCACTTTATCTTCCGCATTATCTTCCTCATCATCACCATCACCATCATCATCATCATCATCATCAGCTCATCAGCTCATCATCATCTCATCATCAGCTCATCATCCTCATCCTCATCCCCATTCTCACCATCATCATCATCATCATCATCATCATGATCATGATCATGATCATCATCAACATAAACATCATCATCAACATTAACATCATCATCAACATAAACATCATCATCAACATTAACATCATCATCAACAAACACATCATCATCAACATTATGCTACATGATCCTTTTACCCCCACCACACTGTTTAGGGACAATCTTTTTGTATGGGAGATTCTGGATGTTCTTTTCTTTCCCGAAACAGTGTGGCCACACTGAGGAGTTCTTACGATAACAGTTAAGGCCCGGTGTTCAATCGAGGTGGTATCCGTCGCGTTTGGCATTTTCCGTGTAAATTTCCATGCAAAATGGCTCTTGTGAAATGTCCATGTGCATTTCGATTGCGCAGGCTCGCACAAAACGCTGGCCGCGGAGGTGTCCTCGGCCATTTTCCCTGTAACATTTAATACAAAATGGCTCTTGTGAAATGTTCATGTGCATTTCGACTGCGCAGGCTCGCACAAAACGCTGGCTCCTCGGCCATTTCCCCTGTAAATTTGCATACAAAATGGCTCTTGTTAAACGTCCATGTGCATTTCGATTGCGCAGGCTCGCACAAAACGGGTGTCGCAAGATTGGCGTACGGCACTGTTCCTGTGCATTTCCACAAAAAGGCTCTTGTGAAATGCTCATGTGTAGTTCGACTGCGCAGGCTCGCACATCATCATCATCATCATCATCATCATCAGCATCAGCACCATCATCATCATCATCATCATCATCATCATGATCATCATCAACATTTACATCATCATCATCAACATTATAATACATTCTCCTTTTACTCCACCCACACAGCGTGGGGTCCCTTGCTGGGATAATTTCAGGCCTGAAGACATATTTTCGTGATGTTCGTTGTTTGAAGATTTTTCGGTGGTGTGGCCCTGGGCCAACATGAGAATTTAATGATCAAAGGCTATTCAAACATGGCGGATTTGTGGATGTGCCAAAATCAATGATTTAAAGTTTAAAGGCTTGCGCCTCACAGCCGGCCCCCTGCCAGGGAGGGGTTATGGGTGAGGCCACGTTGAGGGCAACTCGGGCCATGTTCTCGGGGGTTGAGGGCAGAACGGCCAAGAAACATTGTAAAACACGAAATAATCTTAATCTGCTACTTTGCACTTCCATCCTAAGTGTGCCGAGGTTGAGGCCTGTAAAACCCATTTTGGGCCTTGTTGGGGCCTGCACCTGGTAGTGCCTAACGTTGCTTTCGGATTCAAGAAACTAGCTCCAAACTAGTTCCAAACTGCACCCTGTCCGGGCCCCAAAACGCTGGATTCGCCAGCCTGAAACAGTAAAGGACGGATCGTGCCTGCGGCCTGCAGCTGGTAGTGCCTAACGTTGCTTTTGAACCAGCGTGCTTAGCAACTGTTTGTTAGCGGTGTCTTCTCTGAAGCGCTTCCCTAGTTGCAAGGCAGCACGCCAGTGAAGGACGCATCGTGCCTGCGGCCTGCAGCTGGTAGTGCTCAACCAAACTAGTTCCAAATTGGATCGGTTTGGCTTGTCCGGTTTGGCTTGCACCTGGTCGTGTCCAACAGTTAGCACTGCTGCTTGTAATGTCTTCGCGGACGCGCTCCCCCAGCTGCAAAAGGGGTCGGTGGATATTTGCTCTCGTGTTTCCGGCCTTCTGGTGCTGGCGTCTGAGCTTCTTGCCTTCTTGCTCTTGCAGTTGACTTTCTTATTCTTTTCTTGCTCCTTGTGTCGTGCCCCCTGTTCTCTGACGGGTTCCCCCTGCCGTCGGCTGGGGTCGGCGGATTTCCTTATGTTTAGGTGCTTAATCATCAGTTTTTGGTGGCTCAAAAAATTCTTGTTGGCATTTTGGGGGTTAGCATTCTCTTTGGGTATACTTTTGGTGGGTTATTGGAAAAAGTAGGAGTTTAAGCACCAAACAGGGGTTTGGGTCAAAAATAAGACGTCGAAAATATGGTCTTTTTGGGTTCAGCCATGACCAACCCTCAACAGCATGGAGTTTGTTGATCCCGGAGAGTAAGGATAGGATTTCAGGGCGGCTGTTTTTCGGACTTCGTTTCACTTCAAGGGTGCGAAACAGGTAGTGGGGGTTGCCCATGGAGCAAATGCACATTGCATCACACTACATCTATTTTCAGTGTTTGAACAATCAGCCTAGTTATAAACCAACTTCCCTATTGGTGGCCACTTCCTACACGTTTTTCCTCATTTCCCAGACTTGGATCAAAAGAAAATCTACAGGACCTCCCCATTCTAAATGTCAAAAACCAAATTTCCTCTACATTTTCCCTTAAACCATTCATCTAACCATAGATATATCCAGATCCATCATAAAGCCTAGTAATTTACTTACAGCGCTCTCAATTCATTTTAAGGTTGGTCAACTAGATCAGTCAGTATATAACTAATTTTCCTCAATTTTGTAAATAATAAATCAGTTTCTGCTCTATATCATACTTAGGTAGTTCAGACGTTTTTTTTCCTGATTTCTCTCTTTTTTTTGTAATAGAAAGTTGGTTTGACTTAGTTTTACTGTTTTGCTTCAAACAAAATCAAAAGGTCAAGATAAGTCAAGATATATCAGCATATGTCATTTGCTGATTAACTTATCTTAACTGATTATGTCAACATATATCAACATATATCAACATATTTGCTGATATTTGTTATGCTTTCAATTCCAACCATCTCAAAGCCACAGCCACTTCCTGACCAGGTCTGTGGCCACCGAACTGGAGCTTCGCCTGACCCAGGAGGCGGAGACGCAGCAGCGGTGGCATCAACGCCTCGCAGCGGAGGTCTGCGGCCGGCGACCAACAGATCCGCCAAGAAAAGTGGGATTTCACCGTCAACAATAGGGATTTAATGAGATTTATATAATGGGATTTAATGAGATTTAATGGGATTTAATGAGATTAATGGGATTTCATGGTATTTGACCAACCATATGGGGATAGATAGATAGTAATACGGGGATATCCTCTGGTAATCAAACATGGCTAGCCAGGAATTCCCTGAACTAGACGGAGATTTATTAGCTGAGTCATCTAAATGGGTAATTTTCCAGCAAACCATTTTTGATGGTCGGATGTCAAAATTTGGAAAAGAAAGGAGAACATTGGGGGAAAAATAGCCAAAGTCACAACTCTTGATAGACTTTCTGCTGAACATCATAGACATGACAAGAGTTATTATTTGAGGTGATGAACTGTTATTTTTTCAGCAATTTAACAACAGAGATCAAAAAATTGAGTTGACATCAATCAATAGGTATGTAGCCACGTATAAATTGGAGATCTGGGAATTGGTAAATTTTTCTGAGACCATTTGAATATCCATTATCGCCGATTGTCTTTGTGTTATGGTGTTTTTATGGTTGTATGTGGCTCTTAATTTTGACCCTATGAGCATACCCATATTGAATGAGCTTCTGACCAACGCAGCAGAACATTTTCATTTACCATCTGGTTATTTAACATAGCCATGGAAAATCCCTTATCAATGGAGGTTTTAATTTTAATGGGAAAATCATCTATAAATGGGCCATGTTCCATGGCTATGTTAAATAGCCAGATGGTAAGTTTCTGAGAACGACAACCCGGCTGGTCATTTTCAGTCTATATTTTGACCCATTGGATGCATGCGGGGAGGGTCAGACATGTTAGGTTTCGCAATCCACCACAAAAAAACATGGGTGGATGAACAGGGATAAACAGTACTATATAGCACTGTTGAGATTCAGAGCCAGGGAATGATTTTCTTATTATCAGTATATTTGTTGATGAACAATGTCGACAGTCTCTATGTTTATGGATGATTCTTCTGATAACAAACGCCTCAAAACCAGCCCTCAACGCCTGAAAAATGGTTTTCCGCACTTCGAAACGTCTATTTGTGCATGACATTTCTGGATGTATCACCAGTAGTGGGTGAATGTGCATGGATGTGCATTGATGGGATGTATGCAACGAAAAAGGAACAGAACCACCATGCATGTTGATGTAATATGATGTAATCACAGATCAGAAAAACCAATTTGTAACCAACAGCCAGTCTCTCAGCCCAATTCACGGATACAATTGATACAACATAATCATTCAATGGAACTAGTCATCATCAAAAACTCCATAACCCCATTGGTTCAGCATGACTCACTTCGTCTTCTGCCAGCAACGGCCCCGAAGGTGCAAGACCAGGTGCGTCGGGAGTATCGCCGCATGGCCCTGGAACTCACCGAGCAAAGTCCTGGAAGCCGCGGCTTTGGTCGCGGCACCAGGGCCAGTCCGGCGGAGTTCTCGATGCCAAAGGTGCCCCAGTTGCGTTGCGAGTTTGGGCATGGCCTGCTGATACGTAGGGCTTGGGAAATTTCAGTTTTCTGAAATTCTTCATGATGCTTTGCAAAATTCGGTAAGTGAATTCCGCTCGAAAACTGGGGGTCGGTCTGAGGGAACTCCATTTTTTCTGTGATATTTTTGCGATGAGTAATTGCCAGTGAAACCTGCTAAGCGTGTCAAATCACAGCAGGATGTTCGTCCCCCGTGCTGATGATTCGAGGTTGTCACTAGTAAAGGACCCAGTTTTGCAAGGAGGAGGAAAGGTGGGCACCTTCCATTGACGTGCAACTGGTAAGGTGGTAGTGATCGTCCATATGTCTACCCTCCGAGTCTCCGGTACTCAAACGTGGCGATGGGAAATCCTCTATTTTGATAGAGGTTGCAACAAGAAAATCATCTATAAGTGGTGGATTTTCCTTTGCCATGTTTGATTATTGGAGGCTATATGGAAGATTCTTGAAGCAGTTGTGGAAAATTCCAGGTCATTCGTTGGAAAATACCTCAGGCACGAATGCACCTGCCATCAAGCAATCCCCGGTGAGCCCTTGCTATTGGCAAACCCCAAAGCCTGGAATTTGTAGGATTTCAGATTTAGAGTGATGACAAACAGACGCAAATAGCATAATTCGACTGGCTTTCCCAGGCGAGCGCTGAATTTTCCAAGGGCGCTGAACATGCCTTGCCCGGACAGACCCCCTCGAGTGGCAGAGGTCTCTTGGTGGGGGCGTGGGATGTGGGGATGGAAAGCAGCGAGTTGGTGTATGGAAAACATCACTACTCAGATTGTTGGACCTTTCCGAAAAAACCTATTCCGGTTGATTCTATACCTATATAGCTTACAGTCTTGCAGTATTGGATTATTTTCTGGTTGATTCTGCTCAGATTATTGGACAGTGCTCATTTTTTATTGCTTGATTTTCTTGAAGATCTTTACTCCAAATTCCAGCATCCCAAGGTGATGAATCGTCAGCAGCGACGTGAAAAACTGATGTTTGGTCGGCCGCAAAACCCCCAAGTTGAGCTGTGACAAAAATGGCGCGATGGCAGCGTGATGGGATGTGCTTTCAGCAATCAGATCTATGTGACTATAATTATACTACACATAGTGAACTCCGGCATTTTTTTGAACATTACTTTATGATACTTTGTGTCTGGTTGTAGCCCCTTCTTTTGGGTGGAGTAGGAGTGAAACCCTCTGATTGAATGGCTGACACGGCTGGGCGCTTCCAACGGCTGCGGGCTCAAGATGCATTGATATCGTAGGGAAATCCAATCTCCTGAGATCACAGCCAACCAAGATCGGTCCCACTTGCAACTTTTGTTTTCCATCTTCAGTGAAGACTAGGTGACTAGATCTAAGTTGCATTTTGTTTTCTTTGAAACCCAGGTCGTCTAGGTAGTCGAATGCTTTTCCGCCACAACCAGCCGGTAGCGACACCCATGGCCTGACGCCATTTTCATGGCAAGTCATGCTCAAAAAGGCGCTGAGTTTCGGGGGATGCCAAAGGCTGTGGATGCCAATGGAGCCCAATCCACATGCGACACCACAATGGTAGTTTCCTGGCAACTCCCAAGATAGTTAGAGATGTAACCTACCATATATTATATAATTACATAAATGTGTATATATATATAATATACATATACTCGACTTATTATATATATATATATTTATTGTAATATTAATTCAATATATATATATATCCTTTTTCCACCTGCTTGCACTAAGATTCCCGATGTCTCTGGTCACAACTTGCGTTTGCAAGTCGATCAACTCTGGTCGTGAGGACCTCCTCAATGACATAGTGAAGATGCATCATCATACAAACCAGTCAAACTCGTTCAGAGATCCAAGCCACTTCCAGACAAAAAAATGGGGGGGACTGGGCCGGGCCCCAAAAGCTCCAGCCGGTGCAAATCCACTTTCAAAGGATAACAAGTCATCCTTTTTCCACCTGCTTGCACTAAGATTCCCGATGTCTCTGGTCACAACTTGCGTTTGCAAGTCGATCAACTCTGGTCGTGAGGACCTCCTCAATGACATAGTGAAGATGCATCATCATACAAACCAGTCAAACTCGTTCAGAGATCCAAGCCACTTCCACTCCTGCAATTCTGCTCTGCAAGAAACGTTGACCAGAGAACAGCGGGACACGCATCAGCTAACGTAAAAACCTTTGCTTTTGCCCATGGATCCAGCTCATGGATCAACATCTGTGAGCCAACTTCCTGCAAATAAAACTCTAAAGTCCGCAAACGGGACCATCTGCCACGCCAAGCCACCCAGGCCAAGTTTTCGGTAGTGCAGTAGAAATATGTTGCTCCGGATCCTCGCAAGACACCGGGGGTCGCACCACGTTCTGATTGTTTGTATGGTACGCCAATGCGACTCATAATGGAGTTCCACTGCCTCCGGAAAACATGCATAGACCCAGGAAACAACTGCGCAGATAATGGCAAATTTCCAAAGACGGCCTGAGCGATTCGAATCACACTAGAATCATCAATCCTGCTATGTTGCCTTCGGGCAAATCGAGCTGTCTTCGGATCACGCACTCGGACGTACATGGCAAAAGTTGAAGAATGCAGATCACTGGGAAAAACCAAATCCTGGCGGCAAAGGTTCAGCATCTCGCTAGGATGCAACATAGCTGCAAAACCGAGCAAAAACAAAGCTGTCCAGTTCTTCCAACCCCATAGAGCTGAGAGGCATGCTATCGCTTTAATGATGACTTCTGGGAGTACGGCACGGCAAACCCCGGGCTCGTGAAACTGCCACTTTCGATCGATCTGCCAAGCAACATTCATTAAAGGCTTACAGGCTGGAAACTGATCCTGAGCAGCAGTGATGGCATACGTAAACATGTATCTTGGAAGCCCTTGCTCGAAACAATACAAGCCATAGGCACGTAAGCTCCAAACCAGAGCCTGCATATCGGAAAAGACTGCTTCAGAAGAAACCTTCAAATGCTCTTGCAACCAGACTGAAAAGGCATTCAGACACTTAGTCATACGGTCTGAGGTAGCTTTGACAAATCCAATGCTCAAATCCATGGGTCCCCTCATAGGACCAGGGTTTCGCTCGATGTCGCCAGCTAGCAAAAGCAGAAACCTCAACCATCGCGCCGCATTCTTTGAAAAACAGCTAGAGGCTACCACCGCATCAAATTTTTCGGTGCGGCCTTGCTCAAGATCCTCAAACCACGAAGGAATGGCTCGCGAAGGGGGAGCAACTGGCCCGTCTCGCGAAGGTCCATCACTGCGATTCATGTCTGAATAACAATGTAGCAAACCAGGGTACAGGCCTGATCCAATGATATAAGGGAGGCAGCCCTGGAAAATTCTGCTGATTGCAAATGAACTCGAACGCCCTTTGGCTGCTGCGCCAATCGTGACGCGACTGTCCAAAATTCCAACCAGTCTCGAATCCGGCTCAGTTTTTGCTGCTGCCTTCAAAAATGACTTGTAGGTTCGGGCTTCATTCACATTGATGTGCCCCGACTTCTTGAAGCGATACCGGAACATCTCTCGGAATCGCAAACTGTTGCAAATCTCTCCTATCCACTCCGGGTCTTCAAACCAAGGGCGACTGGAAAAGACGTCCTCAGTGCAAAAAGTTGCAGGCTCAAAAGCCTCAGGCAATCCCACTTCTTTCAAAGATCTAGCTTTGACCTCGGGAGAGATCCTGCCTATTTTACCCCTACATGCCTGGGCCAGGCCGGAAGCCATCTGCTGGACAAGCAGAAAAGGGTATGCACCAGAAAATTTGGAAACCAAATCTCCAACCCGGGGCTCACATCCATATACAGCCATGCATGAGGGACGGCAACGACGTTTGAAATCTTTGAGGGATTGCGCACTAAATGAACCCTGCACAACAAAATGCTGACCTTTCCAAGGGCAAGTACATGTACTTTCCAACCCAACTACCCAAGGCTTATTATGCAACCATTTTGAGGGTTTTTGAAAAGCGCTGCCATACGCGCAAAAACAGAAGTGACTTACAACACATCCAAGCATCACCAGCACCTGATAACAGTGCAAAAGAAACATCCGGCTGCTCCCAGGTTGTTCCACACTGATGAACTGTCCTGACATGACGGCAATGGTCAAAATGAAGGCTGTGCGGCGGGCCAACATGTTATGATACCTAGTGAATGGCTCATCCGGATTGAAACCAGATGGAAATTCTTTTGACCGAACTTGAGGCTTCCGCAAAGTACCAAAGCTAACACAAGGTGTCCCCGCATGCCAATCCTTGACAACTCTGCGCAAAGCCAAGGAGGATAACTCATGAAACACTGCAGTGTCAGCCATGTCAGCAACGCGCAAGCAGCGGCCATCAAGCTCGATGCCAGGGTGAACTCTAAAGCCCCGCTGCTCATGTGCACTGGACCAATTCCCACTACCACGGAACAGTTCTATACAGTCAAAGATAATCCCTTCAGACATAGGGGCTGGGATGTTGCGTGTGCTGAAATCCACAAACTGCTCGATGTCAGGTGTGAACTGCTCATTGCTGGCAGGCTCAAAACCCTTTTCTTCAAGGATGACTGAAACTGGAGACTGCAACTTTGAATAAAAACCCCGTTGTTCACAATGACGCCAAATTTCGGCTGTGGCTTGACTAGTGCTTTGGGCAAACGTAACCGCGCCTCCAGTGGGAGACGCGTCAGTGCAAAAGATCTTAGAGGAATGGCCTACTCTTAAATCGGCTTGGGCTGTTGGACCGAGAATTGCAAGCAACTGCAGTTCTGAACGAGCACGGCTTGACAAGTGAAAAACTCCATCTTGCTTTCGACCCTTGCCTTCATGAAACACGGCATCCATGATAGCAAACATGGGACGTCGGAATAAAAGGACATGGATCCAGCACCCTACCAATATAGAGAGTATGCGAGGAGTACAAGTTCCGATCACAGCAACATGCATGGAAAGTATACTCAAGAGTGCAAGTCGGCTCCGGGGAGCCATTACACGGCCAGCTTTTCCGTCAAAATCAGCACCTAAGATGATCCCCTGGGTTTGGTTACGTTTTCGCTTCTTTTCGTGTTGCACAAGTCCAACCTGCTTATACGCAACTTCGGCATTGGCGAAGACTGTGGTATCACGGAGTGGTGGGTTATCAGGCAAATCACAAGTTTTCAGTTTTTGAATGCCAACGTGATCATCTATAGCTAATAATTCCACAAACTCAGAACGAGGGATGGGGGACCTATACCTCAAACACTCATGGGGATCCATAGCACCAGCACAAACCCGTAACACGGCACAGTGGCTTTGTTGGGCTATCTCGACAGCCAATGAATCCCCCATGGCCAAAGTGGCAAGACCAACCAAGATTGAGCGACCTTGGAGACTGGAATCATAACATGAAAGATGTTTCACTTCATGGTCATACAATTTCATCCTGAAAATATTCCTGCGACATCGCTTGTCACTCACATGGAATGTGTAGTAAAAATCCGTCAGATCATCTGCTGAAAACCGGAAACACTCATCACTACCCAAAGACAACAAGGAAAGCATGGATCCAGGAGCTAAATCACGAGTAGCTTCAGAGACACTGGCCATCCTACTGTTAATAGTTTTGGGGTTGATTATGAGTCGGTCATACTCCGTGTCCTTGTCGACGCAAAAGATGCCGACAGCTTCATCGAAGTCTTTACAGTCGGCATCAAACAGCCTACAAGCACCTAGTTGGTCCCAGCGTTCTACCAGCTTTAGAAACTCCTGTCGACTCACATGCATTTTTGCAGGTTTGCTTGGGGGCCATTGATCTGCCGGGAGTCGGAGGACTTCTGGGTCCAAAAAGGCTTCTTTGACAACAGGTCCTAGAAACTCAGCAGCGTGAAAAGACGGCGGATATTCCCATTTGACACGGGACGAAGTCACGGCTTTGGCACTGCAAATGGGCACTGTAGCAGTGCGGCCATCCATGTCTTGCTCACAGGTACGATGTGGATTGTGCTCAGGAGGATTCAAATTTGGCTCACTCCTGACTGGCTTGAAGTACGACTTGTATGGGTCAAAACTGCTGTGCAAATTAGACAAACATTCAAAAAGGTCCTCAACCCTAAGATCACTCTTAGGTAGTTCCTCTAACGCATGCAAAATGCCAACGAACTTGCCAGATGCACGACCCAGATCGGACCCCTCAAAAGGGCCCATGTCCAAATGGTGTCTTAGCATAAGTTCGAGACGTTCGATGCACTCATGCTGCTGTACGCTAATAGACGCCCCAATTCGGGCATGATTTGGAGGCTGTTTTGGAAAACCTAGAACCATCCAATTGAAGGAAACTAGTATCAAATTCAGCAACTCACTGCGAAGCGCATGAGCTCGCCGGCGCTTCCGTCGACGAGGTGATAGCTTTGAGGAAGCCGTCCAACGCCACCTGACGGGGGGGACAGGCCACAGGGGACCATGCTGGTCCTCTTGCACAGTGCAGGTGGGGCCAGTCAGACTGGCCTGCGCAAAAGTTCTGAGACCCGACTGACTGGTCCAAAACTCTTTAACTAAAACATGCATAAGCCTAAGGGGGTCAAACTGATGGCTATTAAATTTATCTTCATGGTGCAAGTTAAAAACTTCATCATCGGCAGAATAATTATGACGAGGCGGACTATGGGAAAAGGAGGAATTATCCAGACTACTGGGAATCTGATTATGAGGTTTATCACTGATGGTTAGGGGGGCAGAGGCTCGAGCCTCAGGCTCAGCAGTCAGGATTCCGCAGTTGACTCGGCTGCAGCTGCTGGAGATGACTTCTTGCCCTTTCCTTTGCCGCCGCCCGACTTGGGAGCGCCTTTGGGTTTTGGACTTGGCTTTGCATCGTGCTCGTCGTCCCAAGTCAGGGTCTTGGGAGGTTTGCCCACACTCGCCATGCGAGCTTCCAGGAAGTCCAAATCTCGGAGATAGGCAAGATTGCCCGAGACCCAGGCCGGAGCGCAGAGGCGAGAAAAGGGTTGGAGGCCTGGGCGCTTCTTTGAGGTCATCAGCATGTGGGTCGACGGTTCCGTATATCCCGTCAGCAGCCAGGACAATTGAGTTCTGCCACCATCCAATGCCGTCTGTTCCACAAAGAACAACATCCTTGCCACAAGGCCCAGGAGCTCGAAGTTCTGGCTGGCATGACCGACTTGCCAAGCTTCCGCAAGCATGGTCGCCATCAAGGCGAGCTGTCGAAACTCGGCCAGAGGAATCCTGCGCTCCACATAGCGCTTCATCAGGGCTCCATCGTCTCTCTCGCTTGTGTAGCCTAACTCCTTCAGAGCGTTGGCCCTTGCAACTGCGGCCACCTTGGGGAGGTCGTTCACAGCCTTGAGGTACGCCTCCCGGGCGAGACAGCCCTTTACATTTGAGCCACCTCCTGAAGCGCTGTCCGAGCCGGACCCGGACAGGGCCCCTAAGACAGGATCCGTCTGCTTGGGCACAAGCTTCTTGAGCAACATCTGGTTCTGCTGAAGCTGCATTGCCAACATTTGCTGCAGCGGGTCTTTCGATGCAGCCACCAGGGCGACAAAGTCGTCGCTGCCCACTGGATCTTCCTCTGCTTCCTTCTCTTGTAGGGCCAAAGCTTGATCCATCAACCCAGTCTGAGCGGAGACGGTCGTTCTGCGCTGCTCTACAGATCCCACTCGAGGAGGAGGAGCTCCAGCCAACTTCTTGATGCGATCCCATTCTTGGGCACTCAAGGTCTGGCCCTGATCCAACGGCACCAAGGGTGAAGACTTGACATGCTCCGGTCCTGGTTGCCGAGGGGCCATCCCCAAGTTCGGCGCCACTGAAGTCTTCACTTGAGCTTCCAACTCGGCGATTCGAGCCAGTAGATTCTGCACCACCGCAGGAGAAGCGCTGCCGTCTGGAGCGCTGGCAGGATCGAGCTGATCCTGAGCATGGGCTGGAGAGTCCAGCCATTCCTCGCCAGTGAGATATTCCTGTGCAGTATCGGCTTCCATCCCTGCAGACCCGATCCAAGCGTCTGCTGCTTCGAGCAAACTGGCTCGAACTGGTCGAGCTATGGAGCGGTTCACCTTCAGTTGAATCACTTGGGCCCCACGAGGCAAAACATTTCTTGGGGCGGCTGGCTTTGAGAAATAGCCCACAAGTTCCCAAGGGAGATCCACCAAACCCATGGTAACTGCGCCCAGGCTGCGCTGGCGCGTACTTTCCACTTCCACCTCTGAGGTAGTGAAAGCCGGCTCGCCTTCTCCCAAATCTGCCAATTGAGCGATGCTTGCTTGCACATCTTCTGAATTCGGAATTGCTAGCATAAAACCCCCCAGCCTGACGTAGACCAGGTAGCAAACTGCTATGGTATTGCTGCCATCTGACGGATCGCCCACCACATAGTGAATGACGGGGACGCTCCCATCTCTGGCAGAGCGCTGTGCTTCTTCGAGCACAGCTCCCTTCTCCCATGCATTCATAGCTTCTCGGGCGGCCATGCCACCTGAGCCCCACTGATGTATGCTGAGCACTCCGCCTGCGAGGCAAAGGCGTGCGAAACCGCACAGCGATCAAAGACTTGCTGGCCCCCACGGGACACAAAGACCTCGGCTGCGTAGATGTTGTAATGTTTGGTCCAGAAAGCAGGGCCGTTGTCCCGGCTCCTCAAAACCACGTAGAAGCTGTTTCGAAGGGGGACAGCAGGACTGTCTTCACCGGACGACTCACCGTCCAACCACCGACGTGCCAGAAGCCCAGCACGATAGGCACGCACCAATCGTGCGTGCGGGGTCCACACCTGATCTGAACTGCGAAGCCGATCCAACAAAGGTTCCAAATGAGCCACTTGAATGGATGAATACTCGTGAGGAGTGGTGCTACGGATAATCCGCGTCACCAAATGATTTGGGAGTTCCACAGCACTTTCCACCCGGTCCCAGCTGGTCTGAGGAAGCTCAGGTCCTGCCACACTGGTTGTCAAGGTAGTTGTTGAGGAGGCTGAAATCAAAGTCACTGGAGGAGGAGATTGATGCCGGTCAGCACCCCGGTATCGAGCAAAAATTGAGATCTCTAAATTTCCTATCAAAACAGTCAAGTTCTCAACAGGATCAGATCCAGAGGATTGCATCAACTATTGCGATGATACTGGGATAATCGCCCTCTCAAATCCAGTTCCTGCACTCCAGCAGGCGCCAACCCCACACTCAAAGCTCGCGCAGCAAAACTGAGCAACCTTCTGCACTGATGGGAAAAGATGATGGAGGCAAAGATGAAACCAGTCACCCAACAGCAACAACCGATGAGGCAAATGGCTAGGCCTATGGCGCCCCAAGGACAACCAACCGGGGAAGTCCAGCCACGAAGTTCACGGAGAATTTCGGGGAGGACAAAATAGCTCATGCACTTGATCCCCAAAAGCTCCAGCCGGTGCAAATCCACTTTCAAAGGATAACAAGTCATATATTTAACAAAGCAAGTTTAGAAGTCTAAACTCCGTTTTACGAATTTTCAAAATGTGGGGATGTGAAGAGAATAGAGATGTGAAAGAGTAGAGATGTGAGAGAGTAGGGGTGTGAAGAGAGTAGAGATGTAAGGAGAGTAGGGGTGTGAAGAGAGTAGAGATGTGAAGAGAGTAGGGATGTGGAGAGAGTAGGGATGTGAAGAGAGTAGAGATGTGAAGAGAGTAGTAGGGATGTGAAGAGAGTAGAGAAGGAGAGTAAGGATGTGAAGAGAGTAGAGCTGTGAAGAGAGTAGAGATGTGAAGAGAGTAGGGACGCTAAGAGAGTAGGGATGTAAAGAGAATTTCTGCAAGTTTTGCAGTGCCAAGTAGTGCTGGCAAGTATTTTTTTGCAAGCTTTGTAGTACGAATTAGTACTGGGAAGTATTCTGTGCAAGCTTTGTGGTACGAAGTAGTACTGGGAAGTATTCTGTGCAAGCTTTGTGGTACGAAGTAGTACTGGGAAGTACTTTGTGCAAGCTTTGTAGTACGAAGTAGTACTGCGAGGTACTTTGTGCAAGCTTTGCAGTATGATGTAGAACTGGGAGTACTTTGTGCAAGCTTTGTAGTACGAAGTAGTACTGGGAAGTACTTTGTGAAAGCCTTGTCGTACGAAGTACTGCGAAGTTGTTTTGCACAGGATGAACTTTGTTTGCAATGTACGAAAACGCTAAAAGAAAGAGATGCCAAGAGAAAGACATGAGAATGAAAAACCACCTCAAGACAAAGGAGATGTCAAGACAGAAGGTCTCAAAGCAAAGCAATTTTAACAGAAAGAGGGCCCAAAAGAAAAGCGTGAAAGCAAAAGGAAACAAGAAAAATGGTGCCAAGCGAAAACCGTGTGTCAAGAGAAGAAGGTCTCAAGAAAAGAGATGCCAAAAGATAAGGATGCCAAGAGAAAGAGACGTCAACGGAAAGCGGCTGAAAAGACATCGGTTTCAAGAGACAGCGACGACATCAGAAGAACATTGTCAGGAGAGAAGAGTGTGTCAAGTCTCGGGCTTCAAAGCTGTCAACAAGAAGGGCTGTCAAGATTCAGTGTCAGGAGCAAGCCGGATCAAGAGAAAGTGGCAGCATCAGACAAGGATGGCATTTCCAAGAGCTGACGCAGTCAACGGCCATGCCAGCCGGGGGGTCGGCCGTCGTTCCTATAGGCTTTTCCTTTTCTTTATAGATTTTTCCCTCTCGAAACTTCCGTCACCTGGCTGGCCCGAGCTCTACTTGTAAAATCTTCATCATGTAATTATATATATTATATATATATAGGAAGTAGTAATATATATATATATACTTTAATATACGTTTATATGGTTGTATAGTATACAAATGTATCTATATATGTGCATATTATATTTATATGTATATATATATTGTATGTACTATACATATATGATCATATATATATATACATCAATAAATTAAAAACAATCTTTTATGATATATACATAATATAATAAATCATGATTTAAGATAAAATATAATATAATAAAACCTAATATAATATAATATATAATATAATATAATACAATAATATATTATAGTATAATATTATATGATATAATAAGATAATAAATTACAATAAATTATAATATAATATAATATAATTTAATATAATATGATATAATTTAACATAATATAGTATAATATAATAATATAATATAATACTTAATAATATAATATAATATAATATAATACTTAATAATATAATATAATATAATATAATACTTAATAATATAATATTTTCTAATACTTAATAATATAATATAATATAATACTGAATAATATAATAAAATATAATACTTAATAATACAACATAATATAATATAATATAATATAATATATAATACTTTATAATATAATACATTTTTTTTAATAACAAAACACATTTTTTACATCATATATTATATAATATATTGTAATTTAATATAACAATATAATATATAGTATAATATACAATATAATATTAAACAATATATACAATATAATGTATCATATAATATAGTTTAATATAATGTAATATAATCTAATATTATAGAATTTAATATAATATAGTATTATAAATAATATACTATAATTTTACATATTGTATGATATAATATATTATAATCTCATTCAATATAATATAAAATGCTATAATTTAATATTATAGCATATAATATGATATCATATCATGTAATATAATTTAATACAATATTCTATAGCACAACATTATATGTATATATATATATATTCTACATATTTTATGGTTTCTGTCAATCTTAAGGCTTCAACACCTTTGTTTGCAACGCCCATCCCATCATTGGTGCAAAATGCGTCGCAGGCCTTGTCAGGCCTCGACCATTTGTGCCCGTGGCAGGGCTGTGTGGGTCAACAACAAACACCACAAGATATGGCTTTGTCTGAAAAGTTGGAACATCCCGAGATCACAAACTTGTCATGCAGAAAATGATGATAAACCCTCCCAAAACTGGGAACATTCCAAATTGTTCGGAGGACATATTTAGAGATACAAAAAATCCCACCATTTTCTTGAAGAAACAATGATGACCGACCATCAAATTTGGGGACCATCAAATCGGGTTTCCCGACCTGAAACGAACAGCGCCAGGTACAGACCAGGTCTACCAGGTTGCCAAGAGACGCGCGGGTCCCAGCTGGATGATGTTGGGTTTCACCATATTCTACACGTACCCGGCCTGGTAAACTAACATAACTATGGAAAATCACCATGTTTAATGGGAAAACTCACTATTTCTATGGCCATTTTCAATAGCTATGTTAAATTATCAGAGGGTGTCCATTATACATAGATAATTTTTATCCGTCCCTGGCTATCAAATTCCCAAAAAAGGTCACCAAGTATCCTCATCAAGCACCTTGGGCCTTGGGGGAAACAATGCAATGGTCTCCGGTTCAGGCAAAGGGCACAATGCTGAATGCCAACATGGGAACCTCAAAAATGGGTTTGGAAACTTATATATTCTATTTTCATTTATTTTCATTTATTTTCTGGATTTCCATGTTGTTTTTTTCCTTCCCAAGTTGTACACGTTGAACGAAGGGATGTGCGACATTCAGGTCCGGCAAAGTCGGCTCCAGCGAGGCGTCTCGAAATTGCGGGTTTTAACATGTTTCAACATCCCCCCCGGGTCTATGGTGGTTCGAATTGGCACTCAATGCGATCCGGGAAAGAAAGATCTGGGATTCATTTCTCTTTTATTTTGATTGTGTGGGCATTTTCCTTGAGTGAAAACAGTTCAAATTCCACTGTTTTGTTACCTTCCATGTAGAGATGTGTTTGTTGACCTAGGTCACTGTTTTGTTGGTCAGAGCACTGGCAACTGGACTTATCTGTCCATTTCTGTTGGTTCTATCTGTTGGTCGCTCAATTTTTTTTCTTATTCCCTTTATGATTGGTCAAAACCGACATTTTTTGTTCGTTAACATTGCTTAACATGAAAATCCCAATCTGTCGTAGATGAAGATTGTCAGGAACCTCATAGAACTCATGCATATTCAACCAGAGCCCCAAAAACTCACCCACGCAATGGTACACGTTCAACATAAGGGCTGGCGTATTCATAAGGCCTTCCCAAAGATCATCCCCTTCCTTGAATCCGGATTGCATATTCCACATCTTGCTAGAAATTACCAGCATTTTTCCCAGCATTTCTGGTCAAGACACCACTGGGATCGGGGGATTGGTGAAATCGCCAGGAGACTGGACACTGGCACTACCTGGTCACGGACTCCAATGGGATCCAACCGCGTCAGGCAGTGACGCCGGGACGCCGGGACGACGGGACGGTGTTTAGCAGGGATGTAAGTAATAATAAGTATTAATAAGTATTAGTACGTATTAATAAGTATTAGTAAGATGATTTGAAAGGGTGATTCGCAGATTTGGCGGATTTTCCAATGTTTTTTTGCATGGAAACTGAGGTTTGGGAAGACAAACCTTGCTGGGAATTGCGATTTATGCCAGATGAGATTTCCAGATTTCAAGAAACCTGTAGGTTTCGATGGAACAGGCCTGGGGAAGTGGTGGGTCGCAAACTATGACCGACTCATAAGTAGGATTGCTCCAATTTATTAGAGGTCAATTTATTGCCACAAGGGTGTTTTCATGGACGATTTCACTCCTTTATTTTCAGGGAAGTCTGACTACAGGTAGACTTTTTAGACATTTCATGACATTTCATTTGCCGAATGATCAGGTGGTTTACCCTCTGGAAATTTAGCATAGCTATTGAAAATGGCCATAGAAATAGTGGATTTTCCCATTAAACATGGTGATTTTCCATAGTTATGTTAGTTCACCAGAAGGTACCTCTTTTTGTCAATTTAAAACTGCCATGCCAGGAGCCCATGTACAGCACCTCGGATGCTGATGTTGTCGATGATGCTACCGAGCCGATTTTAGGAAGACCTTTGGGCCGTTTAGGGTCCCCCATATTTTAGCCATATGTATACTGTATATAAACATCATAAAATATGGATACTATATTATGTATACTGTAATATATATATATAAATAAGATATCATATGTATACCGTATAGTATCCATATTTATAATGATGGTGATTGATAGAGATTGAAGCGGCAAACATGGGGATTTTTTCATGGGACA